AAAAAAAAAAAATGAACAGGACATAATCTAACATTCAGTACAACTAAGCAGATATAGACCTCTCCCTTGTTTTTAACATAATTTCCAATTAACATCAGGTTATGTTTTGAGATCTGTAAGAACACTATCCGTCCATGTATGTGAAGTGAAATTGCAGTGTACTACCTACCTGTTTTTCATCAGCCTTATTTCTCTTTTCAGTTGGGGGTCGTCTGTCTTAGTTGTCTGCGATGTCAGAGTCACAGGAGATGTCATGACCACAGTCTGGGGCAGAGAAGTAGCTGACGGGGTGGTACGGATCTGGTATGTCTGCATGTCTCCTGAAGCAGCTATGTGGTCAAAAGAGAGTGAAAGTTGGTGAACATTCTTCAAAGCACTATGGGGCACTTTCTGCTGGCATATCCCATACTTACTCTGTACAACCACTTGGTTGCTGGGCACAAGTATCTGCTGTCCATCAGAGGTCTGTGCGTACTGGAGAATTGTTGTACCTTGCGGACTGCTGCCGGAATTTGTCATGGTTAATGTCTGCAGCCCCTGTACTCCCTCTGTGCCTGGACTGGCTAACTGTAAGGCTCCATTTGGGGCAATGGCAACTAAACCAAAGAGAAAATACTCTCATGAGGCCAAAGAACACATTAATTACAGACACACAGTATTTGTTCAAGTAAGTTCGAGTGTAGTGCAACTTGATAACCATTGTCTACTTTAAGTGAAATACAAAAGTGCATCAAAAACTGGAGTAAAAAGGATAGAATTTTTCCATGCCTTTTTGAAGCACTCTAAAATATGCAAAATAAGTAAATCGTTGTAACATTTTATAGTCTAGATATACAATCTGGTTAAAATGAGCACACTTTGGCTCCATGGAGCACTTCAGGCTAATGGAGCACTTCGGGCTAACATTGCCACAGTAACCCTCCAAAGGGCTCCCACTGGCTAACCTTTAAGGGCAAATATTAACATCCTATCTAATTGTCATTCAAAAGAAGCAGTAAAACGATCATAACTTAAGAACACTTTTGCTACGTAAACAAATGGTTATGGGAAAAACTCAACTAAAACTTTACGTACTGAAAAGTCTTTTTCATACTCTTTCTTGGCTTTGTTCTCTCCTGGTAAGCAGTATGAAAGTCACTACACATTATTCAGTCATTCACTTAGAGAAGGCCATTTTGCAGCAGCGTGGGACTGAGTGGGAGCGGAGCGGCCATTGTTGCCAACTCTTTCCTCCTCCCCATGGTCTACTCAGCGGGCTGATTAGGCCATCCGTCCTCAAGCCGAGGCTTGTCTCATACTTAGTTCTGGAGACCGCCTGGCCGGCCTGAGTGATATAGAGGAGAGCAACTTCGGGAGCAGAGAATCTCGCTCTCAGTCAAAATCTCCAACGGGAACTCCAGCTTGTGTAAAACCGGAGAGAAGATCAGGCTCTTGTAGTCAATCATTGGCTTCCAAACACTCCGAATCTCGTTCTCGACCAAGGTCAAAATCTAGGTCAGATCTAGGAGGCATTCTCATAGATGTTACTCTCCATGCAGATCCCACTCTCATCCTCATAGGAGATGACCTTGGAGGAGATCATACACACTACACAATCGACGCCAAAGGAGCTGAAGTCGAAGTCACTCTCCAGTATCTAACCAGAGAAGACATACAGGCAGCAGAGCAAATCCGGATCCCAACACTCGTCTTGGAGTATTTGGCCTCAGTTTGTACACAACAGGGAGAGATCTTTGTGAAGTGTTCTCGATATGGAAACATTGAGTGATATTAATGTGGTTTTTTAGTAGCAAACTGGATGGTCTTGAGGATTTGCTTTTGCTTATTTGGAAAGAATAGATGACTCAAAGGATGCTGCGGAAATGGCAAGTGGAATGGAGCTAGACGGTAGAAGTCACATGACTGAGTCTATCCTCAAGAGCGCGCACACATCTGCACCAGGCATCTATCTGGGCAGAAGCTCACAGTGGCGGTGGTGGTGGAGGAGGAGGTGGTGGCGGCGGTGGTGGCAGACATCGAGATTCTTACTATGACAGAGGATATGATTGTGGGTATGACAGATACGAAGACTATGATTACTGGGGTACAGAAGATTCTCCTCACTATAGTCGATACTGATCACGATCAAGATCTCGTTCTTAGAGCCCCCAAAACGCTATCCATAAATTGAGGATTTTTCTTAAGACCCCTTTTACAAACATCTTTGGTTTATTTAATACCTACATTTTGTCGGTTTATTGCTGTTTCCCACTCATCATTATACTCCTAAAGATGGAATTATTATTGATCAGTTAAACATCCTCAGTAAAAAAGGAACCGTGGTGTTACAGTTGGTAAATTATTTTTCTTGCTTTACAGAAAATTAACTTGTAGCTAATCAATTAAGAATAGAAGTTGACCTTTTTAAAACTTCTTTGGTGTGAGACATTGTATTAAGAGACTTGTGTGTTTGTGGAAAACTTTTCTTTTTTAATTGTGTATTTGGGTAAGACGGTAACATAAGTAGCTCAGTCATGTCAAGGTTGTCTGGGGTGGCATGGAGCTGTCAAAGAGTTTACTGTAGACAATTTTGCTATAGAAGAAAATCCTTACTTGATGTTTTTTTTTTAAGAATGGAATTTTGAAACCCTGAAAATTAAGCTTTTGTTAAAGATGAAAAACTTATGGACTCCTATATAACATGTTGTATTTGAAATACATCTATAGCTGTTAAAGTTTACCAACTTAAAATGTGATGTGGTGTGTGTGTGTGCTAAACTTATTGAGGTTTAAATATGCCTTTAATCAGTGAAGGACAAACCTTATTTATTAACTAGAGCAACTGTATAATTTGCTGTCAGAAATTTTGGTATTGGAGCAATGGTTATTGTATAATCCTTAGAAGATGTGTGTTGGGGAAAATAGTCTTTCCAAATAAAACTTAATTTCTTTGAAAAACAATTTACTTAAAGGGGGGCATCAAGGTCAATTGGCATAATATAGCTCACAAAGGTCTACATCCTACTTTGCTAAGTAGTGACTAGGATCTCAAAAGCCTGACAAAAAGAGTGACCATCTAAGCTACAATGAATGGTCTCTCCCAGTCCAGAGGAAAGAAGAGCAAAGAAAATCCAAGACACATGGGAGAGATTATTGGCAAGCTTCAACCTGCACACTCTGAGAGCAGAAGAACTAGAGGGTACCTGGCTACTACTGCCACCTGCTCTGAAAGGCATCACAGTAGGAGGTCCTGGACAGAGTGTGCAGTGATGTGAAACTGTTTAACAATGGCTCTTCTACCCATTATCTTTGGAACTCCCAGCAAATGATTGGGTAAGACCAGGCTAATAGGATGTATAAAACTCTCACCGCTATCGAGTCGATGCCAACTCAGAGTAACCCTGTAAGACAAGGTAGAGCTACCCGGTGGGTTTCCAAAACTATAACTCTTTACAGGAGTAGAAAGCCCCATCTTTCTCCCAAGGAGTGACTGGTGGTTTTGAACTGATGGCGTTGTGGTCAGCAGCCCAATGCATAACCACTATACCACTAGGGCTCCTCAATAGTATTCACGGAACACTTATAAAGGGGATTGGTGAGTTGAGCCTTTCTACTTGTATATAAGAATGAGTCGTTTCAAAAGCATGGAGAGAGGAAACGTATGACCATCAAGGAACAACAGCCACCGGGATGTTTGCTAAATCTGTCTGAAGTGGTAGAGGCAGCAGAGGCTGCAGCATGGATACCATGAGACAGAGCAGCAGGCAGGTTTCCTGGCCCATGGAACTTCTGAGACCACGGCACTTCGTTACTCTCCAAGACCAGAAGTGAAAAAACACCCCCATGGCTCAACTTTCAGCCAAACGGGCCTACAAAGTGAGTAGAAGTGCCCTTTTGGGTTTCTGAAACAGTAACTGTTTATAGAAAGTCTCAGCTTTCTCCCACAGAGTGGCTAGTGGTTTCTAAGTGCTGACCAGCACACAGCCCATTATTACACTACTAAGGCACCTATGAGTTGGAATGGACTCAAGACAGTGAATTTGAGGGTTTGTTTTTTTTTCCAATCCTACTATATCCAAGAGGAATGAAAACATGTTATCACACAAAACTTGTATGCTGACGCATTATTCACAAATCCCCAAAAGTGGAAACAACCTAAATGTCTGATCAACTGGTAAACAGAATGTGGTACATTGGAATATTATGGAGTACTACCCAGCAGTAAAAATGAGTAAAGTACTGATTTATGCCATATGGATGACCCTAGAAAATACAATGCTAAATGAAAGAAGTTAGTTATATTTCCATTTATGTCAATTATTGAGAACAGGTATATCCATAGAGACAAGTAGGAAAGTGGTTGCCTGGAGCTAGAATGAGGTGAGGGGGGGGAGTGGTACTGGGTGATGTGGTGACAAATATACAACTCTATGAATATACTATAATCTGCTCACCTATATCCTGAAATAAGGAACTTTAAGCTATGTGAAATACTTTAATAAAGCTATAAAAGCAAAAATAAGTATTATTAGGATGTCCCCAAAAGAAGAGTAATGATTTATCATTAAACGTAACTTATATTTCCTTAGATATAAATTACCTATTCATGCTCATTGCCTATTTATGTTAAACTGTTAGAAAAGGTCTGATTTTTGAAGTTAGATATGTTTGCTAACAACAATCAGTAAATATCTGAAAAGCATGGCAGCATGTACTATAACTTAATGGGTGTCTATTGACTTAGAGAGTCTTAATGGATGAGTTGTGTGCTTAATTTTTATGATTTTTCTTTTTCTTTATTCTCTCTTCAAAATTTTAAATTACCTTATTAGATAGCTGTGGGCAAGTTACCTCAATTCTTTTAAGACTTTTTAAATCAGAATGTAGAGTTCTAGTGGTACAATGGATAAATGCCCGGGTGCTAAGCAAAAAGTCGGTTGTTCGAACCCACTAGGCATTCTACGGGAAAGATATGGCTATCTGCTGCTAAAAAGATGAAACTAAACAAAGAGACTGTGACTGAGTTGATTCTACTCATAGCCTTGGTCCTGGACAGAGTACTACTGCCTCGCAGGATTGCCACGCGTAAATCTTTATGGTTAAAGTGCTCAGCAGCTTTGGAAACCCTAGGTGGTAGTTCTACCTGTCTTATAAGGTCTCAGAGTCAGAATCACCTCAACAGCAACAGTTTTGGGTTTTTTATGATTAAAATAAAAAGAAGTGTTAAAAGAACTGTAGTGGCATACCTTGCAAAATATATACTGTGGGTTCCGTTTCAGAAATGCTAGTTAAATATATATCACAGTAAAGCCAATAATATGAGCCTTTGGGTTTCTCAGCACATATAAATTACATCTACACTACCCTATCGTCTATTCAAGTGGGTAATCAGAGCAATGTGAAAAGGCTTGAAATGCTGTGAGAACTACCAAAATGTGACACAAACTAAGTGAGCACTTGCTGTGGGAAAACTGCCGAGAAACCCACTCCACTCAGGTTTGCCACAAATCTTCAATTTGTGAAAAACACAAAGTCTGCAGAGCACTAAAGAGCAAAGCATAATAAAGCAAGGTGCTTGTTTGTGAGAACTGTAGGAAGTGATCTATTAGTGATCCCTGAACCTCTTCCTACAGACATAGACCTAAACAAACAAAACCCACAAGCTGACTCACTGCCACTGAGTGGATTCTGACATAGGAGAACTGTCCCAGTGGGATTTCAAGGCTCTAAATCCTTATGGAAATAGAGACCATCCTCGTTCTTCCTTAGAGCAGCTGGACCTTGAAGTTTGCAGCTCAACATATAGCCCATTACACACCAATAGGGATCCTCCAGAGAGACTCAGGAGGTTGTAATTACTGTTACTTCTATCACTTCTGTATTGCCATGCACATAATACAATTAAAGTTGATTAGCATTCATTCTTCCAATATATAAATGGAGAACATACATGTAGCACTTATTGCCCACTGGTTAATACTCACTAATAAGCCCTTTTGGCCAACACATATAAACATACAGACTATACTAGTGAGTCTTAATTTGGCTTATCTTGGGCTTCCTTCATTAGAAAAAGCATGTTTTTAACTGCTTTAAGAAAAAAAAAGACTGGTATGTGATAAAGCAAATATAGTAAAATGTTATTCAGATTTCTAAGTGGTAGTTTTCTAGCTGGGTGTTGTATGTTTCTTTGAACTTGCCTGTGTATTTGAAAATTTTCAGAATGTTGGAAACAAAACTAACATGAATATCTATAGCAAGCTAATTCATTGCCTTGTTACCAGTTTTAGCAAATGTAACTCCATTTACTATACTATTAGGCAAAAAAAAAAAAAAATCTAAGTATTAGCACAATTGCAAGTTACTAATTTATAGACCATTAGATGAAGATATTTATATTTGTGTTTGTGCTAGGTGTCTTTTAAAACCCTCTTATTAATTCTTAGAACATTTTCTGATAGAGATTTAGTGATTTACTAAAACACTAACCAATTTCTACAAATCACATTGCAAAACAATCTGAACCCTCCTTGATTCAGTCTTCCCAAACTGAAACTGAAAATTAATCGTTAATGTTTAATTTTTATGTTAACTAATTCAAAGATTAACTTCTTCTGTAATTAAAGCCATAGACATAGCTGTCTAAAATAGTAAGCTTATAAAAAAGAATGTCAGTTGGAGTAAAATTACATCTCTAGACTCAGAGACTTGTTTGAATTCTGGCTCCATAACTTAGAAACTGTGTGACTTGAGGAAGATCATCTCACCCTCTAAGCTTGTTTCCTGGTCAGACAGTAACCTTGTCTACCCCACATTAGGTGTTGTAAAGAATATATGACATAATATGAGAAAGTGTTTTGCATTAAGCCTAACATTTAATAAAAGCTCAAGACATTATCCTTTAAAAATCATTATCATGAGGAGGATTCAAAAAGTTCAAGGAAGAGTTCTATTATTTTTTCATTCAGTTTTTCCATGAACGTTTTGCAGCCCCCGTATATTAAAGTCTGACATTCGCTACAGAAGTCTTGTGTCTCTCACGTGGAAATGAACTCTTTTACGTACTGTACTGTCCAGTGCTGGTCTGATAGATGGAAGTTGGAACAGACATAGAAGTGACAGTGGAAACTCCAGGGCTTTCTCCGTCCCCTTTTCTGCTGCGTATATCTTCAGAAGAAAGGTCTTTCAAAATTTTCCTGTGAAAACAGAACTCTGTTAATGCTGGTAAAAGAAACTCTGAGTTGCATCATGAAGACTCCACTACAAAAAGATATTGGTAAACCTTTCTGTCTCAGATTAGAATTACAATAATCCCATAGACAGATGAATGGATAAACCAAATGCAGTACGCATACACTTGAATGTTTTCCAGCCATAAATGGGAAATAAAGTTCTGATACATGTGGTGACATGGATGAACCTTGAAAACATAATGCTGAACCTCAAAATAATAAATATCGTATGACTGCAATATATGAAATACTTAGAATAGGTAAATATGCATAGAGACCAAAATATAATATTACTGGATTATGGGGGCTGAGGAAGAGGGAAATGGGGAGCTATTATGTAAGGGGTACTGAGTTTCTGTTTGGGGTGATGAAAAATTTCTAGAACTAGATGTAAATATAGTGGTTAATTTTACACATTAAAATGGTAATGTTTTGTTGTAAAATTTTACAATAAAAAAAGTACAATACACTTGAATTCTTGTGTTAAAGAGTCCTTTTGTTCTACACATACTATTATAATGATGAAAGAATTGTCCGCCCGGCTATTAAAAGATATAGCGTCTGGGGTCTTAAAGGCTTGAAGGTAAACAAGCGGCTATCTAGCTCAGAAGCAACAAAGCCCACATGGAAGAAGCACACTAGTCTGTGTGATTACAAGGTATCGAAGGGATCTGGTATCAGGTATCAAAGAACAAAAAATCATATCATTATGAATGAGCCCATCTGGAGGCAATTGGACACCCCCTTCCAGAAGGGTAGTGGGGAGGAGATGAGTCAAGTCAGGGTGCAGTGTAGCAACGATGAAACATACAACTTCTAGTTCTTAATTGCTTCCCCCCACGCCCCACTATCATGATCTCAATTCTACCTTACAAATCCAGCTAGACCAGAGCATGTACACTGGTGCATATAGGAACTGGAAACACAGGGAATCCAGGACAGATGATCCCTTCAGGACCAGTGGTGAGAGTGGTGATACTGGAAGGGTGGGGTAGAAAGAGGAACCGATTACAAGGATCTACATGTAACCTCCTCCCTGGGGGATGGACAACAGAAAAGTGGGTGAAGGGAGACTTCGGACAGTATAAGATATGATAAAGCAATAATAACATAAATTATCAAGGGTTCCTGAGGAAGGGAGGGGAAAAATGAGGAGCTGATACCAAGGGCTCAGGTAGAAAGCAAATGTTTTGAGAATGATGATAGCAACAAATGTACAAATGTGCTTGACATACAATGGATGGATGTATGGATTGTCATAAGAGTTGTACGAGCCCCCAATAAAATGATTAAAAAAAAAAAGAATTGTCCATGGGTGGTACAAATGGTTGTGCCCAACTGCTAACCTAAAGGCTGGCAGGGGCTGAACGTGAGTTTTTTTTTTCTCCCCTTTGGCGAGACTAGGTGGATTCAAAATGCTGACCTTTTGGTTAAGCAGCCAAGCACTGAACCATTCTACCAAGGCTCCTTTTAGCTTCATAGTAAACACTCAAAAATATATATATTATAGCTATCTTCCCTTGTCTTCCGGCACTGTCACTTCAAAAAACCTTAGGATGAAATACCTGGATACATAAATTTCAGTTTTCTCAACTTGAAACAGAAATAAGGTAGAAGCATTGTTCTAAGGATTAAAAAATCCTTTATGTTCATTGTATAAAAATTAGAAATTTTAATTACATATTTAATTACATAATTACATAGTATAAGTATAAAACACACACACACAAAGAGAAAGGACTTTAGTTTTTGTTTTTTTATTTTTTTGTTTTGTTTTTTTTATTGAAAGGACTTTAGTTTTAAAAGGGATCTATCAATCTCCCAGTCCATTAAAAAATTCCCTCTTTAACATTCCTAATAGCCTTTGCTTCCAGGAATAAAGCACCAACTTCCAAAAAGCAAACCATTCCATCTTTGGAATTAGAAAATCGAACCATTTCTAATGTACTCCCAAAGCTGATTCTCCACAGTGAAGCTAGGAAAAATTTAAGTCTAACCTCAAATTCTATATCCTTGCCCTATTTTGCAGTATTTGATAACTGCCAAGAGGTCTTATTTAAACTAAGATACTTTACAGTCCCTTGAACTGTTCCTCTATAAGATATTAAAGCTCCTTTAGCTTGGTTTTCTCTTTGGACAGACTTCCCACAAAGAGCCAGTAAACTGGTAGGCTGTATTAACCTAAGTTCAACACAGAATCCATTTACCAGGCTGCCTTCATGGTTTCATGCAGCCAGATTAGCATGAGACTATAAATAGTATGTCCATCTCTTTTTCAATTAGCCCTATAACTCCAAATGCGACGTTTTCATAACATTTGATGAAAACGTATCTGGTACCGAAATTATAAAGCTTTTAGAGCAGACGAAGATGTCAACGAAATTGTCGCACTTTACTAGTACAAATACATACCGCTAGTCACGCATTTTAGCAGCAAAATGCTTGAATATTGGCACGTTTTGACCAATTGTGCGTTTGAGGTTAAGTGGTCGTTTGCGTTCAGTGCATTTTACGATAATTTTCAATCTATTGACGTTTTAGTGTTGATATTTTTTATGTTCATAAAACTGTAGTTTTTATGTCAAAGGTGTAATGCTCATTAAAAAACATTGTTTATTATATATTTCCGCTTTTTCAAAACATAACAACTTCGTTACACTCACCTTTTGAATCGACAGACAAAAATCACCACAGCATGGATTATGATTTGTTTTATGGGAAACGGCAAATTTAGGACCTAGATGGAAGCGGTACAGACTCAGACAAGGAACCAGATGCTAATATGGATGAAATTGGTAAATAAAATGTGTATTATATTTAAAATTTTTGATTTTACAATATAAAGTTTTAATTATATTGCTATTCAAACTATTTTGATAACAATATTTATTTTTTCCTATCATAGTAAGTGAATATATGCCTGACTATTCTGATTTGGATGAATTAGAAGGCCTTGTAGTTAGTAATGATAATACTAGTGAAGATGAGTTAGAAACTTCAGTTGTTGAAATTGAAGAATCAATTCCACTAACTACAAGTTCAAAGCCATCTACATCAAGAAATCGAAGTCCTCTTTAGCAGCACATTTCTGGAGACGGTACAGCTAGACCTATGCCTGAATAGTTAGGACAAATAGATTCTTCTGGGGTAGTAAAACGTCCTGTTCAATATTTTAGACATTTTTTTCTCAAAGGATATCATTACTCATATTGTTGACCAAAAAATCTTTATGCAATCCAGCAAAATCCCAATAAACCTCTTGCACTGAGTAGCCTGGAACTTGAGCAATTTTGGGGTACACTGCTTGCTATGTTGGTGGTGAAGCTCTCAAATTCACGTGTATATTGGAAGGGCAAACTAAACTGTCCTATTGTGTCGGAAGTGATAAGTAGAGATAGATGGGAAGATATAAAGTCCAAGATTCACGTCGATAATTCACAAATTCCCAAAGTCTGCACGAGTTCAAAATGAGCATCGCCAAAGCTCTTCTTCTTGAAGGAAAAAGTAACAGACCAACAAAAAGAGGATGACCTTCTACTAGCTTTACTGATGCTGAGTTTGCTACAAAAAGAGAAGCGGTCCTGCCACCAAAAGCACCCCTGGAAGAGATACCCATTTGGATGGTCCTCACCATTACCCTGAGGTCACAAACGGAGGAAGATGCAAAAATGTAAATTGCAAGAGCGCACCAGTATTTTTCTGCAGCAAATGCAAAGTTCATCTTTGTATCACAAAAGAAAAAATTGCTTTGTTCAATTTCACACTAACTAAAATTATAAACAAATAAATTTTCAGTTTTTTTATTTAATAATAAAATAAGATGAAAAATAATATAGAAATGAAGGTGCATTTTTATTCTTGTATTATAAATCAATGGACAAATGTGACGATTTGGTTATATTTTTTAAATATTGCAAATTTTTTTATTTTTTAAATATATTTTGGTTGTTTTACATATTGATAACCATGAAAGTAAAGAATTAAACAACAATTTTTTTCCTGAAATTAAAAATTCAGGCATTATAGGGTTAGGAAACATTATGAGCATAAAGAAAAGTAGTAACAAATGAAAGTGGGTCACACACTGGGTTACTAATTACAAGGTTAGCAGTTCAAACTCACCAGCCACTCAGTGGGGAAAAGATGACGTTTTCTGCTTCCATGAAAACGTATCGCCCGGAAACCCAAAGGGATAGTCCTGCTCTGTCCGATGGGGTCACTACGAGTGTGACCAATCGATGGCAGTGGGTTTGGTTTTTGGTAACATACTTCATACCAAAAGTCAACAGAAACTAATAGTTTGTCTTTGTTTTGTTCAGATCTTATTTTTAATAGAATCATGTTATAGATGCACCAAAATGTTACCCCCATTCCTTTCTCCTTATCTAACCCCTAAGTTACTGTGCATCCCTCCCCAAAGATTACTTTCATGATGCTGCATTTGAAGATATTTGTTTTGTTTCCCTCACCCTCCTGACTCAACCTTGGGAGAGTCTCAGGGTGCTGCCGCCTTTTTCACTTCTTCTCCTGTGTGGCTACATTCCTTTTCTGGGGACCAGAAAAGTCCGGTGAGCCTTCAAATGCTATGTCTCCAACCTCTCTTAAACTCCAGATTCCTTATTCCAACTTGATATTGAATTATTTCCACTCAATAAACACCTCAGACGTAACACATTCAAAATCTAATGTTACATATCCTTCCGCTACTTATAAGCTTATTCATTTCAATAAGTTTAACTCCATTCTTAGTCATCCAGTTACCTAAGCCAAAAATTTGATGTACCTCTCATAATCCAAATCTAATTCAAAAACAAATCCTATTGTCACTATCTAGGAAATATATCCAGAATGTGATATATCCTCATTACCTCCAAGGCTGTTACCCCAGCCCACATTATTACTTCCTGAACGGTCACAAAAGCCTCTTCTGATCTCTTTAGTTCCCGCTTTCCAGTCTGTCCCCG